AAGCCGGAGAGATCCGCCCCCATTGTCCGAGGCAAAAGCAGAAGATTTCCAGCTCCTGAATTAAGGGGGGAGCAGGAATATACATTATCAAAAGAAGAAACTATGAAATTGATTGCCTAGACAAAAAGTCTCTCGATCTCCTTTCCAAGCCTTCCATTCGGTCGCCGCCCCCCCCCGTCTTCTTTCCCCTTTCTTTCCAGCCCGTTTAGGAGCACACCTGTTATTACGGCATTAACTTCTTTAGCAGGGAAGAGAACAAAGACGGGCCCAGAGGACAGAGTAAATGTTGGGTTTCATTTCTCAATACCAACGTCGGATATACCAAAAAAAAAAAAAAAAAAAACCAAAACAAAAAAAAAACCCGAAAACAACCAAAAGAAAAACCCAACAGTAAATAAACAATCCAAAATTACCGCTGGATCTGCGGTCGGTACAGAAAAAAATCTCCTAAAGAGAAGAGGTGCCATCAGAACGAATAATTGCAGGATTTCGGCAGGTTCCGTTTTAGGGTAAATTCTGGTTATTAGAGAAAGGGAGCAACCGTGGGTTTCCTGGGTTTATTACTTTATTTTTCTCATGACTATTTAGGGTTTGGGGGCTTTTTTCCGGGTTATTGCATATTTGGGGAGTTGTCACTTTTTTTTTCACTGATAAAGAAAAGATCTTTACAGCAAAGCCATTATTTTCTTCGCTATTATTTCAACTTAATCTTTGCTACAACGAAAGGCTGAGATTATCCCGATCCAGCCCTTATCTCCGGCTCTCTCTGATCAGCAGATATTTAAGGTGGAATATGATTTGGAGAAAATTACGTCTCCCCAAAAATGTGATGGAACAATATTTTCTATGAGATTTTTCCTTTCATTTTCCTTGCATACACACTGAAACGGGCGCACACACACAGTGTGGTTCCTTCTGTTGTGTGTTTGTGCATGGCTGTGTCTCTGTCTCATAATCAATAGGCTACATACCTAAAGGGCACAAAATAAAATTACAGTCTTCCTTCCTTTCCCTGAGCAGCTCCCAAAGAGGGATGATGAGCAAATCCTGCATCACGGTACACCTCCACGGCACAGAATTGGAGGTAAATATGAAACGCCATCTTTCCTTTCTTTTTTTTATTTTTACTTTTTCATTTTTTAACTCCTTATCTCACCTTATCTCTGGAGTAGATGGTTGTGCCCACGCTTTATGCCTGTGCGTGCACTCCGCTCGCTCCATCAGCAACGTGGGTTAGTTGTTGTAGTTAATGAGAAGACTCCTGTCTGATTTTCTATCTAATTACGCCCTCCTGCTGGGTTTTTGTACAGGATATTCGCTCAGCATGCTGGCAGTTAATAGTCACAGAGAGGATCGTAAAGATTTAATTAGGACTGCATGCGGAAACGTGGAAAAACAACTCAGACTTTTAATTACTAGACTTCTTTAGTTAAAAGTGATACCAGGGGTTACTTTATAAGAATCTTCGTGTTTTGGCGCAACTTAACTCTCCGTGTCTCCAACTAGCACGTAGAAACAGGGACGGCAGTGTGAGGGAGGAGGAAGAGGAGTGGAGGTGTGTGTGCGGGGAGGGGAAAGGTGATGAGTTTCCAGATAGAGTTAGAAAATCTCTGAAGGAAGATTCCCCTACCTCCCCTCCTCCAATAATCTGATAGCACGGAGCTTCCTTGATGCCATATATATCCACCTTTTTCAACAGCTATGAATATATCTGAGAAAAAAAAATAATAATCTTCTTGTTTCCCTTTAAAGAGACTGAATTTCCCCTGCATATTGTCTTTATTGTATCTTCTACTAGGATAACCCTTCTTTTGCCTAGTCGGTGTGTGTGTGAATATCTGGGGTTGCAATGTTTGGGGTTTGTTTGTTTCTTTCTTTTCAGCGTCCTTGTTAGGTGGTGCAAATTTGTTTTCAATCATTAGGTCTTGGCTTATCTGTTCCCTGTGCGAAGGCTGTAAATGGCAGATTGAAAATGCCCCTTGGAAGGGGCAGCAATAGCATTACAATACGTCCTGTTTACAATAACAGAGCACTATCGTGTTGCAATCACTTAATTCCAGCCCTGGACAATGGCTCACACATGGCCTGGGTTTGGCGTTTGTAAAATAACCACTGTTTCTTTCTGTCACGCACTGCCTCTGTCTCATGCTCCCTTGTCAGCCCAGCCCACTCCCATGCACGTATTTGATCAGACATGGGTAAGCTAAAGCAAAGAGACACATCTTTATCCAACTGTATACCTACATACCAGTTCAACTTTTTGGACTAGTAAAAAAACCCCAAAACAAAAACAAACAAACAAACAAAAAAAAACCCCAAACAAACAACCACAAAACCAAACAAAACACCTATTTGAGACCCTTCCTGGAAATTCTTTCTAGTGTTCGTGGAAAATAAGTATATATCGCCTAACTAGGAATCCCTGTAGATTCCTATTTAGAATCTCTAGAACGGATTCCTTGATTCTACAATAAATCTATATTAAAAATCAGGTTGGAAAACTGTCCAAGTTCATCTGTCACTAGAAGAGGGGGACAAGAATAGAAAATGCTGAACGGTAGGAGTGAATACTGGGTTGCTTTCTCTCCTGCCTGTGCTAACTTGCAGTTGGACACTTCTTCCTTCACGTGTTTCTCCTTGGGACACCCTCCTCTCCCTCTTCCCCTCCTCCCCCGTCCTGAGACCAAACTTTCAGAAATAAAAGGCCTGTTTCAATTCCAGCGGCCTCAACATCCCAAAACAAGAACCCCAAGCCCATGGTCATGTCTGCCCTGGCACAGTCCCATCCCTATACCTGTCCCATCCCTATTCCAGACTGATCCCACCCTGGTCACCGGCCCGGGCGGGCGGGCGCCGGGGCGGCACTTTCCGCGAGTGCTGAGCCCTGCTCGCAGAAGGGATGTTTTACTAGAAAAGGAAGGAGAGCTGTTTTATTTGAGCTGAGTAGGACCTTTTCTTCCCTCTTTCTCTCTGTGTCTCTTCCACTCCTTTCCCCTCCCTCCCTGCTTTATCTTTCTCTCTTGCTTTCCCGCTTCCTCTCTTCCACCCTCCCTCCCCCTTTTGTCTCTTCTCCCTTTTCTCCCGGTCTCTGTCCCTTTCTTGCTTTTCCTATCTCTCCCCACCTTTCCCTCTTTCTGTCCCTCTCCCTATTGCTTCTTTCCGTTTTTCCCTCCCACTCCTCTTTTTCCCCCTCCTTTCCCTATCTTCTTTCTCTCTCCATCATTTCTTCGTTTTTTGTCTTTCTCCTTTTGTTTCTTCTATCTTTTATATTTTTCTTCTCTCTTTTTTATCTCTTCCGTGTTCTCTCTCTTTCTCACAAGACCACAACAATCACTGGCTTCTCTTTGGGGAAAGTGTAAATACCAAAGCACAAACAGTACTTAATGTCTATCGAGAGAAAGATAGACATGTTCACAGAAGTAAAGCTCTACTTGACCCCCAAGGCGGTTTGGCTGAGCCGAGGTTGGGAGCCGAGCCCTAGGGAGAGGGGAATGTCCTCTGCTCTCAAAACCCGCTTGGAAGCCCGCAGAAACCAGCTACCCGATGAGCTCGGAGCCAGGAGCAAAGCCAAAACCTTTCGATTTCTAAAGCACTTTGCCCCAGCAAATCGCAGATATTTTCCCCTGAAGTCCTAAAACCAGGTTCAAGCCAATGCAACTAGCCACCCAGCTTCTGCTCTGCTTGTGATGTTTTTTTTCAGCAGGATCCTTTTCACGGTCGTTTTTACCTTCTCAGACTCCTCTTTTCTCCTTTCTTTACCCCTTTCTATAACTTTGAAGCGCGTATCTCATCCAGTGTTTGTTTATCCCAAGTGTATATATACGTATATATATATGATACGGAAATTTGGTGAGGAGGGACGGGAAGAATGGAGGGGAACCCCCAAATCCCTACTAGCAAAGCCTAACGCACGAACTGGCCCCTGAGGCTCCAGCCTCCGTCTCGGAGTCCCCCTCCTGGGCCATGCCCTACTCCAGCAAGGTGCAAACCCTTACCCCCGCCCCCCAGCACCGAAGCTGTTAAGGACCTTTCTGGGTTTGTTTGGGGTTGGGGTTTTTTTTAGGAAATAACACGTGATGATGAGTTTCGCGTGGGATGGAAGAAGGCTGAGAAATACTGTGCTTTGAGCCCAGTGAAACTCCTTTGTTACCCAAAAGAGGGAATCAAACTCTTTAAAATCAGTGCTTCCTCACCAATTATGCTTAAAAAAATAAGGGTGGTGGGTTCCTGAACACCGGTTGTTGCTTTTGGTTTGGGTTTTTTCATATTTTCCCTCCTGAATGAAAAATGCAGTAATTGGACAGTTTCATCAAAATCCCTGAACTGCAAGAAATTGGTTGGGGTGGTTAAGGGAGGGGATAAACTGAGATTGCATGGAAAATAACTGGAATTTGAAAAGCCAGGCTTAAACTTTGCCAGTTTTTGAAACACGTGGAATATTTACAGTATGTCTGCCTTTCCCTGCACTCTGCTTGCAGGGTAGGGTTTGGTTTGCAAAGCAGAGCCGGTGAGTGATAGCAATGAAATAAATTCTCTCTAAAAAATAATTTAAAAAAAGAAAGTGAAGGACGGGCAGTAGCAGGATTATAATCCCAGTGCAGAAAAAGGATGGTAACCTGCACCGATATCGGTGTAAGCCCCTCTCTGATGATTTCTAGCCGAGGGATGGGGGCTCTAGCCTGGGAGGCATCTGTATGGCCCAGGAGAAAGCAACGCGGAGCCTTACCTGGACCTCCTCCATCCCCGGGTGCCCGATGCCGTGCAGGGCAAGGCTGTCCCCCATCCCGGAGTCAAGGCCATGGTGAGCTGAGTGGAGCAGGACATCTGGCCTCCTCACGGAGTGGTAGTCCCGCCTGGGGTCCAGGCCCGAGAGCTGGGGCAGGGCGGCCCGAGGCTGCGGCAGCAGTGACCCGGTCTCCGATCCCACCTCTTGCCTCTGCCTCTGGCCCCAGGGATGTTGCTGGGGTTGATGCAAGGGGTTTAGGGAGTAGGGGTCATTGACATGGGAGTAAGGGTCCTGGCTTTGGTGGTAAGGAAGAGGCTGATAGGGGGGTGGGAAGTAAGGCGGCTGGAAATCCGAGGATGGGGTGTGAGAGAGCGGAGGAGCGCTGGAGTAGGGTCCCTGGGAGACGGATCCCAGCTGGGACAGCCTGGAACTGTGGCTGGGCACTCCATCATGCCGGTCCTACGAGCAGAATGAAATAAAACAAAACAAACAAAAAAAAAGGAAAAAAAAAAAAAAAAGAGAGAGGACCTTTAAAATATAATAATTAAAAAAAAAAGTAAAAGGAGCACAATCCCACCCCAAAATATAAAGAATTATAAATACCACCAGTTGTAAACTAGGTTTCAGGCATGCCCCTTCCTTCCCCTGCCACGGATTAGGAGTGTCCCAACATTTCCCACTCAGATCGTGTCTGTTCCCAGTAACTATCAAGGAGGGGGAAGGGGGATGTGTCTGAGGGAGAAATGCTAAATATCGTAATTAAAAATGTAGAACGAGTGCTACATATGCATGTATGATCCGTGACTTCAGTCCAGTAATATGATTCCCTCTCCAGCATCTTCCCAAATAAACCCCAAATTGTAAAAAGAAATTAGAAAGATTGAGAACCCCAAACCACTCATCCTTCCAAACAGTCCAACCCTTGTCCTGCCTAAAGTTTTTAAACATGTTTATTCCCTCTGCTGAAGTCCTGAAACTCAAAATCACCAACCCATCTTCACTTGGAAAAGACCAAAAAGAAAGTTGCACTTCTCAGAGGACTCCGAGGGAACAAGTTGTGCAAAAAAAAAAAAAACACTTGGGGAAAAAATAAAAATAAAAAAAATTAAAAGAAAAAGAAAAATCACGGGGGATCTTTGCATAAAGAGCGTTAACTCCTTTAAAAAAACAATAAAATGAA